GTAAAATTTTCGTCATTATCAATAGCTGTCAGGGACGCTTTGGCTATTTCCAATTTTAAAACATTTTATGGCTTCTTGGCTAAGTGGGAATCGTGTGTTATCAATCAAAGGCTTAATAAGGTATGAAAAGTTGTAAATCCACTTCGAATACTGAGCTAACATACTCAAAGTACGTCTTAATGAGGCTGCATCTGTTGGAGTAGGGAGATCCAATAGTGGTTTTAATCGTTCTTTGTCTGGCTTGATAACGTTGTTCTCAATGGAATATCCTAATAGACTTATACTTTTTGATCCAAAAGTGCATTTCTTCTCATTTAACGTAAGTTTGTATTTCTTCACAGCATTCATAAATTGCTGCAAGTTTTTATCGTGTTCGTCTCTATTTCGCCACATACAGTCACGTCATCTAAATAACAGAAGGTACCTCTTAGATTTTCAGCCTCAATTATGAACTGTAGCGTTCTCTGAAACGCAGTCACGCCGTTAGTGACGCCAAATGGTATACGAGTAAATTGATATGGGGCCCCACATGCTTCAAATGCTGTATATTTTCGTTCAGTCTCTAAAATTGGCACTAGGTGATAAGCGCTTTTTAAATCAAGTTGGCTGAAATAGTTGTATTTTGCAACGTTGGAAACCATAGATACAATGTTAGGTAGTGGATACGCATCGAGTTTAGTGAATCTATTAATTGTTAAGGAATAATCAATGACAAGACGTTTTCGATGTGTTATATAGTTACTTGGTTCAATCACTCCATCCTTCAACAATTAAGAAACTTCTCCTCTAATAAATTCTTCATCAATTTTTGTATAACGCCTTGACTTTATTGCAATTGGCTTTATGTTTGGAGAAAGGTTCGTAAACAACGATACAGGAGGTACTGACGCATCCATAACACATATTTTTAAGGAATCCCTTGAACCCCCAAAGTTGAATTCTAATGTCTTGTGTCTTTTCAATAAGTTATGTCCTAGGATAACATCTGCACATTTTTTTTTTATAGGAGGGGGCAAACGAGCATGCGGCTCACCTGATGGTAAGTGACTACCGCCGCCCATGAACAACATAGGTTATTGACAATTAGTAAAGGTTGATTTGAATATGTATGCTTGTCTAAATTTATCGTTGCATATGTAATGCCTTCTACAAAAGAAATATGACTAAGGGAAGCCAAAGATATAGCCTGCTTATGAGGTCTCATCTTTAAGTTCATATTTTGGGCTAATGTCTTATTTATAAAACTGACAGAACTTCCTGTGTCAATCAGAGCTTCAGCGTGGAATTCATTAATCATAATAGGAACTGTCGCTTTGCTTAAGCTAGATGGAGATGCAACAGATATACATTTTTTTGTTTTAATAACATCCGCAACTTCACTGTCTACAGCATTTACAGTTGGTCTACCACTTTTGCAAACAGTAGCGAAGTGCCCTTTCTTTGAACATAATTGACATATTGCGTTAAAAGCAGGGCATTTTATGCGTTGATGTAGACTTTTATTACCACAAAAAAAAACATCGCTTACGTTGACTTGCTGCAATGGCTATGCTGTAATTCTCCGTGCTACTTTCTGGTTTTTCATTGTAAGTATCAGTTACAGCATGTAATTGCATTTGATGATTATTGCAGTTTGTATAATTTTTCTCAGCAGTTTCTAAAGATGTAGCTTGATTTTGGGCTTCCTCCAATATCAAAGTTATGTTTTCTAAAAGCCTTTGTCGTATCTTTTGACTTGTGATACCTGATATGAAGGCATCACGAATATAGTCATTCTTATTTTGCTCCGCCGTTACGTTTTGAAATTACAATCGTATGCTAATTGCCTGAGAGCTCGAATATTTAGACTCCTTGGGCTTTTGTTTTTTGGTTGCTAGGGTATATCGTGTATGTATTTCATTTTTAGCCTTTATATAAATGCTATCAAGCAATTGAATGGGAGTCACATAAGAAGAACAGTCACGTATTAGTGAATAGACTGTCGGCGACAAATGGTTGATGAGCAATTTTAACTTAGTTGAATCAGAAATCTGATTTGATTGTTCGTGGCATAAAAAATTTGAACATGTATACCGCCAGTGGCTCAATTTTAGGCCTGCTGCCGGTGTATCAGGTTCGACGTCAAACCGGTCTGGCGGTCTGGTCGAAGAAATCGCGACATCGTGTTTATTTCCGAAGAAGAACAGCTTGCATCGTTTATCGACATTTTAAAACAATTATGTTGAATAAATTGATAAAGAAAGTCAAAACCAATGGATATTTGATTTTATTCAACATAAAAGATTACATATATTATAAAGACAAAATACATTGACAAGTAATAACATTTTAAGATGACAGATATCTTCCTTTATAACAATTATGAATAAGGTTGTATATTATAACAAAGAGGTAAGTATACTACAACTCCCAAACCTTCTATTTTTTTTAAATTGTTAAGTAAAAAAATGCGAGTTGGCTGCTTGGAGTTGGAGTGAAAATCCGCGCTAAAATTGTGAAAATTAAAATGTTAGAGATTATTTCTTTCGCTTTTTTGAATTGATTTTCCTTCTGTGTCGGTCGTAAGATACTTTTTAGTTAACCAGTAGGGTGCACCCCCTGCAGGTAAGAGTATTAGTATTGCTAAAAGTTTTAATTCCCCTTACATGGTGTAACGGCTATTTTGAAACTATTCTTAATTGCTATTGCCAGTTATTTTAAAACATGTGTTATTGTTATGTTAAACATATGTTAATCTATACTACATTTACGAGAAGCCTAAGGAATTGTTTTTTCAAGGTTGTTTTTTTTTAATTTAACTGATTAAAGAACTAACAGTCCACATGCTGCAACTGCAATTCATGGACACCTGCAGCTAACTTCAAACGAAGGCTACAGATGCGTTGTAATCTCTGAGGAATAAGATGGAATGAATTACAAGCCTGTACTGACTCTCTATTCCCTTCAGCCCGGAACACAGCAGTGCAAGAACTTCTATTTGGCGGCAGAAATAGGTAAGAGGTTCGTTATCTACCAAGACGGACTCCTAGGCAGAAAATGAGTATAAATTATAAAGGCGGTGGTCATGGTGGTGTCATCGTACTAGCATATAAGTTGAGACCTGACGCGTCATATGGTTCTTAACGCGCAGCAGCCGATTTTTGAATAAGTGCATGCCAAGAAATATTACAAGAAAAAGTGAGTGGGTACGCATGCCACAAAAAGGTGCAATGGATACCACGGATCATAGAATATAAAAAACAAGAGGAAGTAACAAGACGCTAAATTTCTACCAGAACTACTGTCGCCAAACTCATTTGTGCAAACTATAATTGTGCGTAATTTCAATAATTTTCGCGTGATTGTCTATTAAAAAATAAATGCGAAATTAAATTTATGTTACTTACCATTCGCTTGAGTATGAAACATAAGTTTTTAAAATAGAGATCATATTAGTTTTCATTAAGGAAGTGTTTCTAGAATGAGTAAATTTAGCTTTTTACGTTAGATGTTACACTAATACAGTGATTATTTGAAAACGCACTATAATATATAAACTAATAATAGATATCATTATGTCTTAATCCAAAAATCTTCTAAGATTGGCGAAAAAAAATTGCTACGTGATGCTAGATGTTACAATAATAAATTTACGCGACTATAGGCACAATTTTTATAGACATAACGTTGATTTTGCCGTACCTAACCTGCTACGCTAGGTGAATGATGTTAGTGATGTAGCTACTCTGCCTGAACATGGTCTGAATTATCACTATTCATTTAATATTAAAGTGTGGGAAAATATATAAAATGAGTAAAATAACAAAATTTAGTGGAAACTAGCTGGCAACCGCACCAAGAAATAATTGTGGTAATGTCGTTATAAATTTGGAAGAGATATTGTTAATTAAGTCTTACAATACATTCATTGGAGTTGAATGATATATAAATTTGTCGATATTATACGCACGCCAAGTAAGTAAGTTAATTATACTATGCCTATAACGTAAGTGTGAATAATAAGTTGACAAAGTTTTAGTGCAATCTTATGAACGGCATGGCAGCGCATAAAATACGAACAAACAAACATCAATTTTTATAAATTAGATTAAAATATATAAGCCTTGATATACTACGAATATCCCCGTAATTCAGCCGGCATATATTTAGTTGTCTTTGATGGAAATTTATTAACAGTGAGCTAAATTAACATAAAAGAAGGAAGGTGAAAATATAATAGCTATCATATAATATTATGTCACGTTAAACGTCATGTGCATACAGAGTTCAACTACAAGAATTTTGTTCTTATTTTAGGATTCCCTCTATGCTGTAATAACTCTGAGGTCCTAGCGGAGGGACGAAGATTGTGAGGGTGCTTCTGTATTATTGTTTAAATAATGGGTTGAAATAGATTTTCATATCTAAAAGTGGTGTGATTTTGTGTATTTGTCTGCGCGTGTAAACTATTAGTGGAAAATGTGAAACAAGTGCTCGTATGGTGATGTAAATCTCAAGATAAAGTGTCTATCTGCTTATGCGTCTTAAGATCGCCAACTATCTGCTGGCTCAAGTTACCGTCAAAATCTCCAAAAACTACGCTATATGACACATCAACATATTGTGAAGCAGTGTAGGATAAAGGATTATTATCACTTGATACTGAAAATCTATAAAAACGAAGATCCCGAATGAAATGAGGATATGGCTTAAAAGACAAGCATGCTAGCCAAAAATCTTAATAAAAAATGCGGAGACTGTTTATTTTCATGGTTGACAGATTGTTTGATACTGACAGATGATAACTGAGTTTTGAGGTTATGTTGGGGTTGGTTAGGGTAGAGTTACTAAACGTTAAAATTAAAATCACAAACATTTTAAAAGTAATATTCTAAGTAATATTCTATCAGCTGTGTTAAGTAAACTAATCAGATTAAATTCAATTTGATTTTTGGCTTTTTTATGATACCATCGAACGAATGTAGTTTATTAAATAATCTCTATTCTTAATTCTAATAAAAATGCAGCCTTTATTGAATCCTAAAAGTGATATTCAAATAGATTTGAATCAAGTTAGATTGGATATTCTTAATGGAATTCGCGAGTGTAATGATCGTGGACTGACACAAACTGTTAAGTGGCTGGCGGAATTAAATTATGCACTAAAAGACCATAAAATAGATCACATACCATGCACCTCTTATAATGACGATATATTGCTTGACGAACGAGAATCTTATGTATTAGCAAAAAGTTACTTTGACTGTCAGGAGTACGATCGAGCAGCTCATTTTATTGAAAATTGTACCAGTTCAAAATGTGTATTTTTATACAGATATTCTCAGTATATGTCCAGCGAGAAGAAAAGATTGGATAATGCTACTGATATTGGGCCAGACAATGCTGAGTCAACTCAGGTCTTATTAGATCTATTATCCTTTTTTAAGGTACCAAAACTGTGAACTATAATAATAAGAAAGGATACAACTGATTAAATTGTTGTCTACGTACTTATCTAATATATGTCTTTCAGGCTAACCATAACAGTTTAGATGGCTATTTGCTCTACTTAGAAGGTGTTGTCCTAAAGAAGTTGGATCTCCGAAGTCAAGCTGTTTCAGTTTTGCAAGCTTCTGTAGCAGCTGCTCCTACTCTGTGGGCTGCTTGGGTAGAACTTGCAGGCTTAGCAAATGAGTATGAAGCACTGGATTCTTTACAGCTGCCTAAACATTGGATGATGTACTTTTTTGCAGCTCACGCATTTGTGGAATTGAAATTATCAGAGCAAGCTTTAGAAGCATATATGGTGTTAGCTAATGCTGGTTTTGATAAAAGTACATATGTTACAGCACAAATGGCAATTGCTCATCATGATAGGCGAGGTAGTCTTTCCATTATCTATATAGTTGTATATTTGTAGAACTCCTTACCTTTATATATTCGACATGCTCATTTTTTCCTTTTTTTTCTTTAAAAATCTACTCAAAACTATTTGCAATTTGCTGTAAACAACAGTTCTTTGTGCATAAAGGTTGTCTGGAAGAAATCGCTTCCAAAGTGATAAGACCACCTATATATATATATATATACATATATTTCATTTTGTCTAATTTTAACGTGTATTGGTGGACAAAAGAAGGAAAAAAGGGAGACCAAATGGGGGGACGAACTCTCGAATTTTGACAAATACTGGCACAGAATAGAAAAGATTGGGATAAGTTGGGGGAGGCCTTTCTCTTCATTTTTATCTTCGTTTTTATAGATTTTCAGTATCAAGTGATACTAATAGCGACATATAAATAATAAAAATATAATTAAAACAACTTAAAAATTTATTTATGTGTAAATAAAGGCTACTAATACTAATAATTGGTGTACAATAATGAATATATTGATTGATTGATAATATTGTCCCTCTGTGCAATACACTAATTGATAAATAGATATAATTAAATTATTTTATGGATTGTATCATGTTTACTATTTCTTCTTCTTTTACATCAGCTTGTAAAAATTTACTGCTGGACATGGGCCTCTCCCGTGGGAAGTATTAGCTTTATTTCTATGCTTGGCTGAATGTAGTACCAGACGTCTCTCACCTTTGAAACTGCTCCCCATTTATTATCTAATTTTGTTAAATTTTATTAAACAAGATATCCATTGTATCTTGTTTTGTGCTTTGTATTGTTTCAATAATCTCTAAAATCCATAGAACTAAATATTTGAAACTAGTGCTTGGGCATTTATTTGAATATAGCTATGTCGAACAGGATTGTATAAATGTTTGACATAAGTGAAAACTCACATTGAATATCCTTCAAATTTTCAGATGTAGATTCTTCTTTAGCATTATTTGGTGAGCTATATCAAAATGACCCATATCGCCTAGACAACTGGGATGTATACTCTCACTTATTATATTTAAAAGAAAAACGCATGGAATTGGCGAAACTTGCACAAAAAGCTGTATCTATTGACAAATATAGAGTGGAGACTTGTTGTGTTATTGGTAAGTAATTTCATCCATGCACGAATGCTGAATTTATGTGCAAGCCAATACTTGCCGAAAATAAGTCCCATTTAATAATATGATTAAATATATAATAAAAATTATTTTTTAGGTAATTACTACAGTCTTAGGAGTGAGCATCAAAAAGCAGTTGTGTACTTTCAAAGGGCTCTGTCTCTAGATCCTCAGTATCTCTCAGCTTGGATATTAATGGGACATGAATTTATTGAATTACAGAACTCAAATGCGGCAATACAGTGCTATAGACAAGCAATAGGTAATACATTCAAGTAACATTTATATGTTTGAGGTATGTTGTTGATAAAGATATTATTACATCCTGTGGATGTGAATGTGGATGAATAAATGGAAGAAATGGTTTATTTTATATATATTAAAATTAAATGTGTGATTATTTTTATAACACATAGTACTCGCTAGCCCACACCCAATTTCTTGTTGAAATTTTGCCACATCTGCATTGGTAAAAACTTCTCATTGATTAATTCGAATACGGAGGCAGATGCAGATGTCTTGATCTATCTAGAAATTGTTTATATAAATATTTGTAACATCCCTGGTTATTTGTATGTGTCCATCTTTGGTAGTTCTACTGATACAGATAACATTGATAACAGAAAAAAGAAGTCTTTGTGTAATGCACTTGATTGCAAATAGAAAGCTACTTTCACAGCATTCTTTTTGATATACTACTTTGAAGGATATTTTTTGTATTTGTTTGTTTAAAAAATGGTGTTGTCATCAATAATCTTTGCCTTCCTGTGGTTGAGAGTAGTTATTTTAACTAAAACATATTAATTTTGGAGCATTTGCGTTGTTGCAGTTACTATACAATTTTTGCTTCATATAATTTGTGAATAAAACTACAACTGAGATCTTTCACGGAATATTAAAAATGTTGAAAATTAATTTAGCTAAGATACATGTTATAAAATAAAATGATCCTAAATACCTAAATGGTACTGGCATTTACCATTTAAAAGCATATAAACACTCAATATGTCGTTCATACGTTTGAAAATGCCACACGATCTCTACAGACACTCAAAGTGTCGTTCATAATATTTTTGTAAACGATGCACCACCCGCACTGAACAAAGGCCGCCTGAACAAAGCCCCAAGTGCTTGACCAGACTGCAGTTTGCATTCGGGCCTTTGTTCATTCAGATTTCTAAAGCACATAAAACATATTTTTCTTAGGCTGCCCTACAGCAACTAAAGCCCACCAGCAGTTTCTTACTTTGCCTTCTGGCCAGACCAATGATAAAATATCCATGTCAAAATAAATAAGAGTAATAAAAAGTTTAAAGTAAGCTTTATGCAGTAAAATACAAACATGATTAAAATTGACTTTATTTTTAGACGTAAACAGAAATGATTACAGAGCGTGGAATGGGCTTGGCCAAGCATACGAAATTCTAGGTTTAAATGGCTATTGCATATACTACTATTCAAGAGCAGCACAGCTTAAACCAGATGATTCAAGAATGTTGGTATCACTAGGGGAAGCCTATGAGAAAATGGATAAAATTCCAAATGCTCTCAAATGTTATTATAAGGCTCACAGTACCGGCGACATTGAAGGAATGGCACTTTTTAAGTTGGCGAAGTAAGTAATTTATGTATTATGTTTTTTTGTATATTGTGTTAACTTACAAACGAGTTTTTAAGTTGGTAAGTAAAAAAGAAGCATTCTTCTACCGACTTCAAAAAGGAGGAGGTACTCAATTTGACTGTTTTTTTTGTGTGTTATATATATAAATTTTTTCTGGGTAAACCGTTTTCGATGATCGTTTTTTTATTTGAAAGCTCGTGCTTCTTATGTGGTCCCATATAAATTTGATCAAGGACTGACCAATGGTTTTTGAGTTATTCTTAATAATTCATATTAAAGTTGGTTGTACAAAATTTTTAATTGTTAAAAAGAAGCCTTTTCTTAAAAAATATAGAAAAGTGATTAATTCATTTTAACTTTCAATTTGTTAACTTAGTTTCTTCGTATTTGTATGTATAAAATTGAAGAAAAATCTTTTTAGTTGTACTGTTTGTATCTGGCTGGTTTTAATGTCAATACATATAGACATGAGCCGTGGTAGCTCAGATGGTTAGCGCTCGCTGTAAGTTTTACAGTACGCGACCAACCCGGGTTCGATCTCCGCCGGCACCAATGAAATTGTTAGTTGCAATTTTAAGTGCTGATTTACCACGAGCTCGGCGGTGAAAGAAAACATCGTGAGGAAACCTGCATGTCGCAGAAATAAGAAAAAATAAATTACCCAATACGCATTGGGGCAGTGCGGCGAACATTTCCTTGCCCTAAAACCCTCTCAAAGAGGAAGCCTGTGTCCAGCAATGGGACGTATATATGCTGTAACTTTAACATATAGAAAAGTAAAAAAACACTCCCGCCATTTCACAATTGTTTTCCTGTCCGCCAAAATGAACCTAACAAATAAATTCGATACATTCTGAAGTTTTATTACAAAAAAGGGAAAATTGCGACTCAAGCCGCGAAAAAAGTTGTGACGTTTATGGACCTAATGCAGTGTCAGTAAGAGTAGCACAAAGTTGGTTCAAGCGTTTTAAGTTCGGGAATTTTGATGTCAAAGATGCAGCTCGCTCTGATCGCCCTCATACGGATAAAGTCGTTACCATTTTTGAAAAAGTGGAGCAAGATTGGCATATTAGTAATTACGACATAGCCGAGGAATTGTGGATTGACCACAAAACAGTTTTGACCCATTAAAATTTTAAAGTCTGTCTATACAAAAAAACTCCATACCACACAAGCTCACTGAAAGAAACCTAATGAATCATGTACTCATTTGCGATTCTCTATTGAAACTTAATGAAACCGAACCATTTTTGAAAAGATCGATCACTGGGGATGAAAAGTGGATCACCTACGACAAGAACGTGTGAAAAAGGTCATGGTCAAAGGGTACTCAAGCTTCACAGACTGTAGCGAAATCCGGATTAACACGCAATAAGGTGATGCTGTGTGTATGATGGGATTGAAAGGGCATCGTTTATTATGAGCTTTTACCGCAGGGCAAAACCATCGATTCGGATCTCTACTGCCAACAACTAATGAGACTCAAGCAAGAAATTATAAAAAAAAGGCCGTAATTAATCAACAGAAAAGGAGTGGTCTTTCATTATGATAACGCCAGACTAACAGACATATTTGGCCACTCAGCAAAAATTGAGAGATCTTGGTTGGAAGTGTTAATACATCCACCATATAGTCCTGACCTTGAATCCTTAGATTTTCACCTGTTTCGGTCTCTTCAGAATTCTTTGGGTAGTATTAGATTCACATCAAGAGGACTGTCAAAACTACTTTTTGCACATTTTTGATCAAAAATCTGTAGATTTCTATAGCTAAGGGATTATGTCACTACTTACAAGATGGCAACAAGTTGAAAAAAGAAATGGCACATATATATTATAATTAGTTGTATCTATGTCTGTGTCTTGAATCTATATATAAAATACGAAGAAACTTTTTCGCCGACCTTATATGATAAAACAGTTATAATACCTAAATACAATGACAGTAAATATTGGTTGAGGTTTTAATTAATAATATATAATTTTTATAGAAAAAATTGCTTGAGAATTTTTTTTAATTAATGCATTGAGTTATATTTAATACGTACTAGAGAAGCTTTTCTGAACAAAAAATGTGTACTACTCATGTCTTCGCGCATGCGAGGGAGATAGTAAAGTCACGCATGCGCAGTTGATTTAAGTAAGCACGTTGCTCCTGCGCGGTCAGTTTATATAAAGAAATATATTTTTTCATTATTTTGTTTCTTTTGTAATATTACGATATTATTACCTATTTATTCACTTGAACAACAAATAATTTTACTTACTTGACTACTGAATTGTTATTTACGTCCAGTCCAAACTTTAATTTGAAATCTTGTATTATTAGCGCCGCTCCACACTGCATGAATATTGAAACCACAGACTAACTAGTAGATTGAAGCGACACTAAATGACACACTGTACGGATTGCATTACAGTTCAGTTGAACATAGTGTATGTTCGGAATGCGCAATCTAGTCTGTAGTACATATATATATCGATGAATTAATGATTGGTAAAAATTTCTTCACCTTCTTCACCAGGCTGTAAAAGTCTATTTTTGGGCATGGGCCGGGATGATTTGGTTTAGTGCTAGTGCGCACTGCGATAACTTCATTATAGCCAATCCAAAGTCCAGTGCTAAATAAAGGCCACCCCCATAGATTGCCTCATAGGGATATTAGCCATAGCAAACAATTTGGAGATGTTACCAACTTACATTATTAAAGTAATACATTTATATACCTTCAATTAATTCCAGACTATATGAAAAGTCCAACATGCCAAACAGTGCCGCTGCAGCTTACACCGCAGCTTGTCAGGACCCTGCAAATGCTGGAAGCAAAGAGCTACCAGCAGCACAACGATACCTAGCACAGTACTATTTAAGGTTCAGTTTATTGGACCATGCTGCTCATTATGCCTACAAGTGCCTGGAACATGACAGTGTAAGCAATACTTATTCGTGATATAATGTATTAAGTCTATTTGTAAAAATTGTCACAAACTTAGGGTGTTACCGCACCAATTGATCGAAGGTGGACGTCGATCGAGCTGAGACACCGACCGCATTTTGAAAGATACTGATGAGGAGCTCATAACTACATCGATTAATTGTCGATCGATGACTGAAAGACGTTTTATCGACCATTATCCGCGTCGATCACCTAAAGCTACCACTCAAATCAAATAAAAACTCGAAGGGTGTTGCCACACCAATCGACGTCGATAGATCGGTGTGGTAACACCCTTATGTGGAATGTATTAAGTCTAATTTTATTACTATGCATAGTAGTTAAATGAAAATTTAGTTCTAATGACATGACTTGTGTTATTTTACAGACTAAAGAAGCAGGAAAAAATATATTAAAGGCCATATCAGAAAAAAGATTAGCTGCATCATCTTCGCAACCCGCTAATTTGCCTGATGACTTACCAGATGCAATCAAAAACATATCAACCGCTTCTGTAACTCAAGATACGCCAAAAACACCGTTTACAAGCCCAAACGTAACACCCGACAACTTCTCAACACCAATGCTTACAAGAAAAAACGGTAAATATAAAATGTGACAAATGAATTCTCGGAAAAGTAAAATGTAAATAATAATTGGGCTATTAACAATACTTCAAGATAGAAATGTTAAATGCACTAAATTAGGTGATTTTGTAAAAAGAAACTTGCATACATATTAAAATGGCAAATTCCCTTTATTTGTATTTTTTATGAATAATGTATTTTACAATCGTCGACAAGTGAACCCGAAAATAAAACTTTTAACACAAAGTAAAATCCAACTCCAAATAATACAATATTAAATTGAAAATTTCAAAAACCCCCGAAACAAAAGAGCTGATGATCTTCAAACGACTAAAAAGATTTTCTTGAATCATAGCTAAGAACAGAAACAGAAACAGAAACAGAATCCATATCTATCATAGATGTGGATGTTTATGGGTCACAGCAACCACTTACCATCAGGTGGACTGTGTGCTCGTTTGTCACCCTATCTTATAAAAAACAAGCTTAGCGGCCAAACCTATAACACCTCTCTTTTTGCGTCGAGGGTTAAAAAGAGTATAACACAATTTCCATTGAATAACTTCTGAAGTTGAAAATTTAATTCTTCTATATACAATATCGTAGCTTATTCGATGTCAACTTTTACTTGTTTTAAAAGTTTAATTTTGACCCCTTTTATTGGACTAATATCAGAATTCAGAAGCTCCAGTTAACACCTAGAATGTTGGCTAAATAGTTACATGATAATTGTCGATGGTTTTTTGTCTAAATTTGTGCAAGGACCATGCACCCGCTAAGAACATACTCGCTTTATGAAGTCGATGCTATAATGTTTTTTGTCATTAAAGAACATTACCCCAAGACAAAGATTTTCTCCTGCATCGTGGAAGCAGTTTACATACATAAATTGCACAAGGACATACATCCAGACCCAAAGCAATAATTTGTAGGCCATACAAATACTTATTACGTGCGGGATTCAAACCCACGGCCGTAGTCGCCACAACTCAACGCTAAGCCAGCAAAGAATGTGATTTAACCGTTAACCCAAACAAAACGGTTTTAGTAATGTTTACACAAAAATGCATGCTGAATAACAATCACCTTCCAAGTCTTTTCAGCACAAAACTCCAGCTATCCTCTGAAGTAATATTTAGGACTTTGGACAGTAAGCTCTACTAGAAGAAACACATAGAAAACATAATCAATAAGTCTAGTATAACTATCTGGCAATGCAGAAACAGAATCGGCAAACGATGGAGTCTGTCGTCAAAAATCATACTATGGCTGTACAAAAATGTAATTCGACCGAAAATCACATTCGGGTATGGTGGACCAAAACAAATGAAGCCACCAATAAAAAGAAAATTCAGCGATACCAGATACTGGCATGTATGGCTGCCACGGGCTGCATAAGGACTACACTAACAGCAGCCTTAGATCCAGCTATGCTGGAGCTAACCCCGCTTCACCTACACATACAACGAGAAGTGACCTTAGCTGCCATCAGACTCAAGAGCCTGAATATTTGGAGTAAGATTAAAGTCCTTCATACAGGTATAACTGATAGAATTTATTCCAAAATTCCTATCCTACAAGCCAAATTCGACAAGACAAACAATTTGTTTGTTATGAGATATAAGATACAATTAAATGAAACTAACCAGCCGGAGGGATTAATGGTTCTGATTATCGTGTTGTCATACTCGTCACACCGCCGCGCGTAAAATTGTTAAAATTACACGCACTTTGACGTGCGCGTCGCATTGCCAGCGTTTTAAGCGCCAAACTAAAAGCCTGCGCAAAAAATATTGAGCTTGAGTCTAGTAGTTGAATGTAAATAGGCTATTTTTTAGAGTTCCGTAGTTAAAAGAAGAACCTTTATAGTTTCGTTAGATCCAGGGGTCCGTTTGCGAAACAGCTTTAGTGGAAGTTTTTATTAGTCAGGTGCCCTCCCCCCCCCACGAAACCGGTGTTTTAGGAAATGAAAAGTCTGCACGTTAGTAGCGAAGTTAAAAGGAAAACTATGACAGCTAAGAGGGCTTAACAAGTTAACGAGTAATAGTTTTTTTTTTAAAGGATAAGGGTGACAAACGAGCACACAGTCCACCTGGTGTTAAGTGGTTGCTGCGGCCCATAGACATCTACATCTGTCCTCTATTACAAATCAAAATGTAGATGCGTTGTCACCCGTGAGGACTAAAATGGAATGCCTCATTTCCAGGAAAAAGGGTCTCCGGTTCTCTACACTCACCTTACGAAACACAGCAGCGTTAAGCTGCTGGTTTACGCTGGTATTCTGTGAGAACGTGGTCCTCCACCGGTGGAGCAGACCCATTCGTGCCAAAACTATACTATTAATATAGCTGCAGCATGGCCCTACCATGTATAAAATATATCCTTCATCAATCAGATCGGAAAGTTGTCTTTTCGAGATGACCTTTGGAGAAAAAATATTTACTGCCATGGACAGTTTCCCCGGAATTTCTTTTTTAACATATTGTTAATATAAATAGGTAGATATTTAACTAAGTATTTTTATTTTATAAAATGCTTTCATGGGGAAATAAAAATGGGGTCAGGGAGTACATAATGGCTGCTTTATTTTTCATATAAGTATTACTTTTGATAGTTCCAAACATTTAACAATTAATAATTAAATACATTATAGAAGTTTATTTTAACATTCGACTTAATTAAGAATCTAAACTTAATAATTTAAGTAAGGCATACAAATGCAGGCAAAAAACATGTAGGAATCAGTTAAATAATATTGCTCTGTTTAAAGGCCTTAGGAGGGTTCATCATGCTTCATGTTTATATTCTTTTAGCTTTCCCTGAAAAATATAAAGTAATACCCATAGAATTATTACGCATAGAATACTAGTACGCGCACCGAAAGTGAAGTAAGTAAAACTAACGCGAAACCGCGTTAGTTGACTCAGCGACGCGTCAGTGCGCAACGTCGCGTCTTACGGAGAAGAGCTCGCGAAAAATTGTAAAAATTACCGTTTGTGTTGTAAAATATTGTCACAACGGTGATGATAAACATAAAAGAAGTGATGGTACTACATTTCACATATAAGTTTATACATTTAATTCATTATAAGTACGTAAAACTAAAAAAATACTTACCTAAGCTCTCATTATACAAATGTTGCTAGTTGTGGGGAAAAAATCACAATTTTCTTTTAAAAATATTTATTTTCTATTTGTGTTTAAAACGTTTAATCGCAACGCTCTGTGTAAAACTCAAATGCTTATATATATATAGATACCTACTTCTCTAAGTGTTAACATTATATTAACAATGGGTGCCTATTTAAAACTAATACGGAGTGATTCGTCGACGCCATTTTAACGCAAATATTTTATTTTAATTGCTTTTTTTATTGACTAAGGTTACGTTTTAGAGTATAGAATAAAACTTTTTTATTTACAACATCATGACATTATTAATAAGAACGCCTTTACTAACCAGATGTCACTTTACACCCAAACATTAACCAGATGTTACGTTAGACCCAAACATAGCCTATTTTAACCGACTCCCAAAAAGAAAGGTTATCAATATGTATGTACACTGATTTCTAAGCTTGATCAATTCCCGCAGCCAAATTATACTGTCTCGATAGTAGAGTCAATTTATTAAATTAAAAAATATTACAATTAAAAAAGGGCAGATTTACATTAGTAATACCTCACAAGCTATTCGGGCGTCCAAACTAGTTTATGTCGTATCACTACGCTTGAGAGTTCATGTTATGAACATTTATTAGTGGCCCTTCACTGTGTAGCAAGCGCGCGGTAGCACGTGCGATAGACGTAACACTACATTACGTCCAGCGAATTTTTTTTTTCAGAATTTATTATAGTAATTCGGTATAAGCTAGCCTGTACGCCCGACCTACTTGCGAGATATTGCTATTGGTTTGAGATCGCATTCGAGTTTTGTTTTTCTCGATTGTAAATCTGCCATTTTTACATCCTAATAATTTTATTTGAATAAATCTATTGTACTACTAAGGCAAAATCATTTTACTTCGGGAAAACAACTACTAAAATTTCAGCGTGTGTACTGGATCAATCTGTGTGTATATCCTTTCAAATAAAAAAATCTAAATCGGTTTAGAAATTATAGAATTCTGAGGTAAAAAAAAATTAAAAAATACACCGAATTGATAACCTCCTCCCTTTTCGAAATCGGTTAAAATTAAACATTACCCGATGTGCTTATTGTATTCGAGCAAATTAATTGTGTTTAATAATATTCTTAAATTTTATAGCGTCTGCATTTTTTACCATTAATATATGTATAATAAAGTTATATTAGTAACATCATTATCGTGTTTATTGTATTCCATTTTATATTCTCATAAAATACTTCTACTAAATAATCTTCGTACGTAATACGTAATCTTTATTATATCGATTTTTTAAAATTAATTAAAAAATAGTGATTTGCACAATTTGTTTGCAAACGCCAGAAACTGGTATCACTGAATGGCGTGTATGTGTGCGTGTGACGAGCATAGGCACATACGACTCGCGCCCACTAACATAATGACTTTGCATCATTTTAACGCTCGTGTTTTGTACTGGACTGCGTTTCTATGCGTAATAATTCTATGGTAATACCGTATAATGCTGCAACTTTGCACGGATTTTGATGTTTTTCGCTCGTATCTCTAAACCAATTTATTATTATAACTTTATATGGAAAACAGACCTTATGCCTTGCCAGGTAGTAATAAAATATTTTTAATTCGTGCTGTTCTTCCGAATTACAAGCACTCAAAGTCGTAGGCAAAGTTGTATGTAAAAGACGTAACTTTGCCTAGAAGGATATCTCAATAAATATTATGTTGATCTTTCCAGTATTTTTTTCGTGTGCATGAGACACTGTGCAGGCCCCACCAGTTAAATTATTGAAACGAAGGAAATATAATTTTTTTTCACAGCGAATAGGCAATGTTGTATCAGGTACCACAAACTTTCCATACAAAAATATCGTTTACTTTAGGGTTGCCCAAAAAATACAGATAATTTT